TATAAGAAACTTGCCGAGCAGTGTTGTGATGCTGATCCTGACAAGCGTCCAGATGCAGAGACAATTCGGGGTGATATTCACAAGCTTACTGAAAAGGTGGAAAAAGACAAGTCTGTCAGTAACCTGTGGAATTCCGTTTATCATAATGATGTAAAACCCTTATCACGTCTTGAGAAGGAGAGTAAATATTCTAGTACACTCTTACCTACTGGAGATCTGCCTAAACCAAGAAATAATTCTCATTAGTTACCTCATCAGATTCCAGCTTGCCAAGTTTAGAGGTAGAGTTAGGGGAGGTTGACGAGGAATAAGGGGAGGTAGTTTGGATTTAGTGGTGGTTACAAAGACAACAATTGGTTCTGTCTATGTAAACGAAGTTATTAGTATCGTCCACTGCTTATGATTTAGTGACTCACTCTTTCGAATAAACTTGTAATCCGCAGTTTATACGAGTTTTATTCGAGAGTTCCAATTAAATAAATTAAATACGATACCATGTATGTCAATATTAGTTGAGTTAAAAAGATACCGTGCACGTTTACTGTTAGCTGCCTTTGCCGGGGTTAGATCATTTGAATATGTAAGAAAATATAGGGTACGTTTATGAAACCGGTAATGCTAACAAAGTAGACGTAATTATGTTTGGTGACTGAGTAGACGTGAATACGCTTGGTGATTGAGTAGACGTAATTACGCTTGGTGATTGTATATCGTCGCCAATATGTTCATCGAACCCTCCCGCAATCATTGATGAGCCTGAAGCACCAAATGACTAACAAGAGTTAGAAACTCATTTACAACTTTGAACCAAACGGCTTTTTTTTGAGCCAAACGGCTTTTTTAGCCAAACGGCTTAATATTTCAGCTGTGAGGGGTAGAGTAGTTGGTCTAACTCGTCGGGCTCATAATCCGGAGATCGGAGGTTCGAATCCTCGTTCCTAAATAAAATGCGTGGCTTGTTCGCTGGACGGTGAAGCTTCATTGTCAATTTCTGCATCGACCGGATGGTATGTGTTTCCTGACATTTGTTTTCATACTCAAACCAATTCTTTCCCAAATGACTCATAGCCCATCCATAAAGTAAGTGAGTGTCGTGACGTCCGAAGCAATTTATACTCATCTTTATACGTCTACGTAATAGCCCTTAGCATTACCTGAAGCAGCGTTTTGGTCGGAATTATTCACCAAAGCTACAAGAAGTTGCATTTGTATTTTTTTTTTTCATCCCAACTTTGCTAGCATACAAACATTGCCAAAGTCATAATATCATATGTGAGGGATGGGCTGTTATTATCAAATGAGATTTAGGCTAAGAGGTTCGCGCGGTAGCATTTAATAAATTCTCGTCCGATTCTAAAGATTGATTCGTAGTATTAGGTTTGCCGTTTAGACAAGCTGTATAAGGAAACTGAAACAACGTGAATGCATCAACAATATAACCAATACGTTTTTGTTTTCCATGACAATAACGTGACAAATTGAAAAAATACATAGCCGTTATTTTTTTCAACACGTACTTTAAAATCATACAAAAACTATTGTTATTTGCATAGTATATGTGGGCAAGAGAGATTTTTGAAAAGAAAGACTTTACTAGTAAAATTTCGTGCAAGCCGGTCATTATTTATATTGTACATAAACGGTCGGTTACTGTATAGATATAATAATATTGATGAGCAAAATTTTAAGAGCCAAAGACGCCTCGAGGTTTTTTAATTGTAAAACATTCTTCTCGTGTTGGACGTGTTGCGGAAACAATTATACAGGCAGAATCGATAAGGCGACTCTCCGATATCTTATCACGTTGACCAGCTTATCATGAATCATATGATTTGATACAATTACTATTTATTTTTATACGGAGGGAACCATTAATCTATCATATTCGGGTGTTTTTATAGTGGTTTGATTATGGTAAGATATTGATAATTCGTTTGGAATGCCAGAATGTCACGATGAATCGCTAAAGAACAGCATTTTAGTTCTCTCTCATGAATGTAACGCATCGTTACTTGTTTTAGACACTTTGAAGATCGTGACACATCACGTGAAATACACTCCAAACGCGTCTTTTTAAACGTTTACGCAGCCGACTCCTTCAAACTTTTAGACCTCCTACAGTTCTTGCTCTCTCGCATCAATCTTTCCTATAATTTGACGTTTACTTCTAGTCCAGTTTTAACATAGAAATGCCGAAACTAAAGATCATACAAACAACTGGCTACAGTAGGCGGTCTCATCCATATGGCAATAGAAAGCCCACGAGCAAGAACAAGACGACACCAGTTGCGACTAAACTTGTTACGACAATGCCAACCGTTACCTCCGGAGAACCTATCAATATAATCCTTACTGAAAGAAGTAATGTTAAAAAGGGAATGATTGAAATGAAATCCAAGCTAAAAACTGGAATGGAGCCCGAATTAAAGCTCAAGTCAAAGTTACCGACTTATGTTGGGAAAAGCCAATTAGAGCAATCTTTTGGTTTATATGCAGTAGCCAACTCGAGAAAGATTGAGCGTACGCCTCGGAAGACGCAAGAGTTGGAGCACAGGGAGGTATGTTCAGACCGCGAAAATTTTCTTTGCCTACCGACGTTAAGGTTATTGTAAACGGTTTGTGCCTTTTAATGTGAACTAGCATTTTCATTAACGCTTTTGCACATATGCTTTTCCGTAGCCAAAATCAGACAGTCCCAATCGCTGTCATCAAAAGAGCCTGAGTTTCCGTCTGCTGGTTGCTGGTCGTTCTATTCTAAGTGCGCAAGCACCGTCTTCAGGAGGAACGCAGAATGATTTACGGAAAGCACTAGCGAAATTAGCAAAAAGGTGTAGACGAATTGATATGTCAGAAATGGATTATAAGAAGCCGGTTGAGGTAATTTGTGAACGATGAAACAAGCATTATTGGTTTTGCTTAATGAAATTGAATATTTATCAATGGTTTCTTTAACAAGATTACACCAAGTCAAGCACGAGACGGAAAGGGAATATTAAAACATTCGACGAGTAATCGAAATACGCCGAAAAAGACCGTCAATTTTGCTCCATATAGCCAAGTACGCCTTTATGAAAGGGATGATTATATTGAATAATAAGGTATCTTTTCTTGAATAACTAGAATGACTGCGCATAACCTCATTGAATCTAATCATCTGCTATACCTTGCTGTCTTGTTCTTTAGTGTCATGATGAACATTTATAATGTGAGCAGATTTGACTGCTTTTGTAATTACAATTACATGACTGTATTCCTATAATCAATCAAGTTGTATTAAATCTCCAGAACTTAGTTTAATATTAATTAACGAGCATTTCAAAAGATCAACGGCTGAGTTTTTTAGTGTCTGTGTTGGTACATGACCGATATGTCAATTCAAAATCACAGGGATGGTTTCAATCTTATAACACATCTGTATTATTATTTCCGTAACAAAGCCTCGTTACATCTACATAGCAGAGTATTTGTTGATCTTTGTTAGTGATGTTTGCTTCTACGCCTGCCATACACACCATATATTCTTCACGTGTCAAAATCCAGAAGAACGTAATGCAACATTCTACTCTTACTATGTAATACAATATCACGTGATCAATACATTAGCAAATTGGAAGAAAAAAGATGCGCAGCGCGAAAAGTTCGTCCGATTAACCCTAACTATGGCTGACGACAGTGATAGCGAAGAGATACTTACAATTGAAAACTCGGATGTGGTTACAAAATATAAGATAGCTGCGGACATATCTAACCGTACGTGTTATAAACATTATCGTGTATTTAATAGACAAAGTTATTTAAATTTTCCAGTCTTGATAAACATGAGGATAATAGTATAGTCTTTATAGACGAGTTATCGAGTATCATCAACCGTATGGAATAGCTTAAATCACTAATTACTCCAAGATAGTAAAAGATTTGTGGCTATCGGCATGAATGAGATGTTTCTTTTATATGGTGCGGGGGGGGGGGGGGGGAAGAATCAAGCCATCTCTTGAACGCGCATCTTTTTTACGTTTGTCTTAATTTATAGGCACTATGAAGAAAGTGATTACTTCGTGCGTAAATGGTACAAGAATCCTCGATCTTTGTGTACTTGGCGACAAGGAGATAGAAGATGGTGTAAAACCATTTTACATTAAAAATAAAGTACCCAAGGGTCTGTATATAAGTGTGTATCCTCTTTTCTTTCCTTTGCATCCAACTAATCTCATAGTGCCTTCTTAATCAGGGGTTGCCTTCCCAACATGCATATCAGTAAACAATGTAATATGTCATTTTTCCCCATTGTCGTCTGATCCCGAAGCGTCGAATACGTTGAAACTTGGTGATCTTGTTAAAATTCAACTTGGTGCTCATATTGATGGATATGCTTCTATTACTGCTGCGACAATTGTTGTTGGAGCATCAAGCGAAAACCCCGTCAAGGGCGTGCAAGCTGATGTTATTACCGCAGCGCATTATGCAAGTGAGGCTGCCTTAAGGTTAATTAAGCCGGGTTTGAATAATATGGCGGTCACTCAGACTATACAAAAGATTTCACAGATTTATGGGACTAATTCGGTTGAAGGTAAGTTGGTCGAGTGCGAGAAAGATTTTAATGGCTTAAGATATATGATGGGAAAACCCAAGCAATTCCAAAAAGGAAAAGAAAAAAAATTCTGAAGTACGTGAAAAACTCATCTACATATAATGTACGATATGTACAATCCAGGCATGCTTTCGCATCAGCAAGAAAAAAATGAAATCGAGGGTAAGAAACAGATAATTCTCAACCCCAGTGATGCACAAAAACACAATTTCGAAAGCGCAGACTTTCTCGAAAATGAAGTCTGGGGTGTGGATATATTAATCTCTTCTGGTGATGGGAAGGTAAAAAAAAAAGTTCAAACATATATATCTTATCGGCGCATGCATCTCGTATCTCAATTCCCATTAATCTATTGCGGCTGAAACTCATCTCACTGCTCTCTCTATTTATTGAGTCTTTCCCCCAAACTAATTTTCCATCTTGTGCATTGCAGCCAAAACCTTCCAGTGTTCGGACGACAGTTTACAGGAAAACGGGCGAGACATATTTACTCAAATTGAAAACTGCTCGAGAAGTTTTGAGTGAGATAACGAGTAAGTTTGGAACGTTTCCGTTCCCACTCCGAGCACTTTCGGATGAAAGAAAGGCAAGGATGGGAATAGGGGATTGTTCGAAACATGGATTAGTAGTGCCATATAATGTATTTCAAGAGAAAGAAGGTACGGTTATTAATTTCTAGCAGTTTAATAGTATCTGCTACGTTCGGTCTGTACAAGTTAACACTCACGATCTTTGTCTAATTCTCAACGTCTTTATTACACATTGCAGAGGAATGCGTCGCACAAGTATTCTTTACGGTGTTGCTAACCAAGAACGGCCCGCTAAAAATCACGAATTCTTACTTCGATCCTTCTGTTATTCAATCCGATAAGAAGATCGAGGATGAAGAGATCTTGAAGCTACTTTCGTCACCCTTAAGAAAGAATAAAAAGAAGAAGAAAAGTGGAAAGGGTGGAGCAGAAAAAGCGGAAAAGGAAAAAGTGGAAAAAACTGTAGAATAAGAACAGAGGGTGATGATAAAATGGCGATAAGATAGGGAGATTAGAGTTGGGAGGAGTTGGGGTGTACTTGAATATTGGTTGGTTTGTTGGCTCAACTCTATGTATTAAATTTGACTTTCTGATTACGAAGTGGCTGATGTTATATTATGAATACGATATACTCACACCCATGATTGAATCTGATGTTTTCAAAAATTCAATTAATAAAAATCAGTAAAGTTTTAAGTTCACCAAGAAAAATTTTTTTTACGTCTTTCGTGTCCAATACAGTCTTAAGTTTCGGAGGCGCTTTGATACCTAATTTCTATAGTCGACCCGTTTCTTGTCAACGAGCATAATAAATCGAAATTCATCCAATTAAATCCATTGAAGCAGACGCGTCTTATAAAAGCAAGCTAATCCTATATTATGTAACTTTATAATCTCATCCGCCAACTTTCAGGCTTGTAAAATTCCTCTTCCAAGATACTATCAACAATTACCCTGGACGGATTTATGGATCGAAAATTGGTTTTTCGTCATTGCATCATCTCACGTCAGGTTATATGTATGTGATAGACCCTTGGGCTACAATAAAAGTAAGGGAATCGGTGATAAATAGTAATTGGTCAACGAGATACTCACGACTTTGATTGCAACCGCAAGATAAGGTAATTCACAACATTATCGGTAATTAGGTCTCGTCCGTCGTACTCTCTTTGCTATTTCTTCCATCCGTTCGTTAGGACTATTTACTATGTTCATTCATTAATTATATCATTTAAGGTTCGAGACTTTATTTCAGATTATTCCGATTAACCAGATTGACAAGTATGACTGCTCTTTTATAGTGCTGTGGAATAATCAGTATATTAGAACATCAGGACGAAGGAATAAACGTCGTAACATGTCGAAAATGAAAAGTCTACTCTGTTTATAATAACTAATCGTTACAATAAGAATCATTCCATAAATAACGAGGGCCGGTCCTGAGAATATCTATAAGCAATATTAATATTAGTATAAACATACGCAACGTAACAACCAATCAAACATAAAAAAAAACTAATTAATTATTCCTGTTATGCCTGCCATATCGTGCGCAGGCTGGTACTTGCCTTTGGTAATCTCTTGTCACACCATACCCAAAGTGGTAGCACACACCGGGTCTGTAGTGTGCAAGGACATGGCCCCTCCGCACAACGGCTTTGTGATAGACTCATCTGATGTCGCAAAGTATTAAGTGCATTATTAGTGAGCGATTTAATCTTATCATAAGAACAATTCTATGAATAACAGTCTTTCAAAATATAGAAACGTACCGCTTTCTGGTCGTCTCTTCTCACACCATATCCAAAGTGGTAGCACACACCGAGTCTGTAATGTGCAAGGATATGGCCCCCGTACTATGGCTTTATGATAATTTGCCATTACCGTGCCATCACATGGGGAAACACCTGATATCGTGAAGTAAATGAAGCAAGAGTGCATTATTAGTGAGCGATTTAATCTTATCATAAGAACAATTCTATGAATAACAGTCTTTCAAAATATAGAATCGTACCGCTTTCTGGTCGTCTCTTCTTACACCATATCCAAAGTGGTAGCACACACCGAGTCTGTAGTGTGCAAGGACATGGCCCCCGTACTATGGCTTTATGATAATTTGCCATTACCGTGGGGAAACACCTGATATCGTGAAGTAAATGAAGCAAGAGTGCATTATTAGTGAACAATTTAAATCTTATCATAAGAGCCATTGTTAGATACGAATATAATACGAGCGCTCATCAGAATTTAATTATCCACAAATAATAAATTAGTTTCCCGGATTCTCACCTGGGTGACGAAATAAGCTCGAAATCGTTTGGATTGATGACTTGAGCTTCTGTTTGAAAGATAATCGACTGGTGGGGTTGGTTATAAAGTCAACGAGATTAACGGGGTAAGTAATTAATTAAAGAATCGAAACAACAGACAAAACGCGGACATTCACACGTTGTATATTCAAAAAAAAACAAACCATATTCAGGACGTACATTGGCTTCGGTCTCTGTAGAGAATTTTGGGGGCATGCTATACAGTTTCCTATCGCACATACAAAGTAACGCAGCCCAAAGAAAGTTGTTGTAAAGCGTCAATAAAGTCGATAACTATTTTTGTTTCAGCGGAGATGGAATACCCTTGCGACGGTAAAGACGAAAAGGGATGAGACGCAGTATAATGTCAGTTTTCTATATTTACACTTGTATGTACGCTGACGTCACCCAATCAAAAGCCACAACGTTTCAATACGGCAGTTAGGCTTTTCTTTCCCGCCAAATATTTGCTGCGCCGGACAATGAATAGTAATATGGAGTCGCCGGCTGCTATTTATTTGTATATTAATATACACAGCACTCAGACTTACTATTACACTTGATTATAATTGCATTAACGGCTCTAGACTTACACTTTCCTGCCGTCAATTACTGACAATGGCATATTCTTCTCCAACGTCAATGTCTTCGCCTACCTCTCCAACCCCCACCTGTGTTACTTTCGCTAATGTCGCATTTGATATCCACAACTTGGTCAATGTTACTTTCTGCAGCCCCTGGGTGTGCTCGACTGGGTGTGAATTCGATTTGGGGTTTATCGCAAGGCCGACGTGGATATTTCTGACAACGGCATATGGAAGACCGTTTATAGCCCTCATATGCATAACTCTTGTTCTTCTCTATTTATATGTAGCATTTGCTCATTACCCCCAATACAGATATAACAGACACTTTACCCGTCGCAATGATAAGACTACAACTACCTCGTCAGATACCTCTATCCTCACCTCTCAGAATCTAATAGTATATGTTCTGGCATTTCCATTCGCGATCGTATACATATCGCTGAGAATTGCGTGGGATCTGTACAAACTATGTGTATTCTATTCACTGGACATGATGGAATTTGCGTTAAAGCTTTCGATTCGTGCTATCAAATCAGTTCCCCGTGGACTTGGCGTGCTTTGGCGAGATTATTTGTGGATTGCAATAAAATATATCGTACTTGGCATCCAGCGTATCATTTGGCCAATTGTACGGGCATTGGCGGTAACGAGTTGGAAACTATTGAAATTCGGATACGACATCAGTTGCAAAACGTGTGCATATTTATGGAATGCGATTAAAAGATTCAGCGTGTTTGTTATTAAACCGATAATGTGGACCATCAAGCGTGCAGTATATTTATCTCGTATAGGATACCATGTTGCATGCTTTATTATACGCGATGTGTTGGAAGATGTACGTGATATGGTTTCCTTGGGCTGCGATTCAGCTCGATGGATTTGGCATCACACGCTTATTCCAATTGGCAATTTCGTTCATTATGCAAGCGTCTATCTCTGGGAGACTGGGCGAATGTACGGGCCTATAATCCGAGCGTATTTGTACAAGCGTGTGGTTATTGATGGAAAAAGAGAACTTACTTGGATTGTGAGCGAAATATTGAGGGACCCAATCCTTAGATGGGTTGTTGCTACAATTGTCAATGCGAAACAACTCATATCTCAATGCCTATACTCTTTGGCGATTTTGATGAAACAATTCATGTCTCAAGTCCTACACCATTTGACGATTTTGATGAAACACATGTTTCAAGGCCTATACTCTACGACGATTTGGACGACACAACGCATTTCTCGAGGCCTATACTTTATGACGATTTTGTTGAAAAAACGCATGACTCAAGGCCTATACACTATGATCTCTTCTCTCTCTGCACTATCTGTCGACTTGTATGTGTCTGGTTTATGGCTATATCACGAAGTTTTGGCTCCTCTAATGCAAATTATTCCGGCAACTTTGACCTTGATGCTAGAAATCACCCACACGATGTATACGGGAATAGCGGCTTTTTGCGAATGGACATATTTGGTTACAAAGAGTATAATTGCAGTCATTACCGTCATTTTTAAACCCATTTATACGGGATTGGTCACACCAGTCTTTTTAGGATTATATAAATTGGGCACGGTGATATTATCTCAATCGGTGGCATTAATCCTATATTCTTGGAGTCCTATCCAATATTTATTCATATTATTGTATAACAGTCTGTCATCTCTCTTCATTGCTATTTCTGAACTGTCCATTAGCATCTATAAGGTTATCTATTATGGAATGGTTCTCATGAGTGAGGTGGTGATTGGAGCAATCACATTTGTGAGTGGTATCATGTATGCCCCATGTATACGGTTGGCACAGTTTGTTAATGAGTTATATGGTAGATGTCAGGTTGTTGTGGTGGATACGGTGGCTGCTGTCTCTGGGACGATTGATAATGCTGTTGTTGCTGTCGGCGACGCTATGATGGAGTGGGTTAAAAAGGAACAAGCGGTGAGAGAAGCGATACGAGGTAGTACATCGTAACGAAGTGTGTAATATGGCGAAGAGGTGGGGAAAGAATATGGAAGAGAATTCGCAGAGGAATTTTGTAGAAGAGGGTCGTTAATTTACTGTAAATATTGTCGATTACTCACATAACAAATGTATAACGCTTATTTGGAATATGTTTGCACATATATAACAATTTATGAATAAAGTTGATTCTATCATGAAATGTCCATAGCATCTCCCTCTGTGATTGTGACAAAGTTTCTAAATGATTCGCTGAGAATAGCTGCAAATAAAATAAATAATGCAGGTTACGATCTAGTCATACTTTCAATGATTGACTAATATTCTATTACACCCACCCGTCGTTCCAGGTTTAAACTTGTAACTGTCGACTTTCTGTATGGTTGGATAGGGTACTTCCATGCCGCGGCAAACTTCGGCACGGCCTTTCTCGATGACGGCGACGTCGACACTGGACCCTGAACCCATATCATTAAATATACCAGCCTTTATAGCCTCCTTGACCAATTCTATAGCTTCATCACGCTTTATTATAAGTTCACGACAAATGGACTTAGTCAGCGAAAATAAAATAGCAAAAAATAAATAATTTTTTTTTTAGCGAGAAATATTACCTCCATATTTTCTCGCCATTGTGATTCAAAAATAGATATAGCAGCTAGGGATCCACTGCCTTGACAGAGATAAGGCAACTTATCGGTACTGCCATGTGGAGAGACACTAAACAGATGCGGTCCATCAACATCCACACCACCTAATACTAAAGCCGCTCCAAGGTGACCTTGATATCTATTTTATAAAGATCAAGGTGTTCAATTCCAATTAACAGCATGAGTACCTCAATATTTGTTTGGTGATGAGCATTAGTACCTGAACAAAAACTGCGTAAGCGCAGTCAAGGCAGTTGCTACTCTTGATTCTCTTCCAGTGGCCAAACGATGCAATTCTAATTGAGAAGCAACCATTTTCGTAATTTTATCGGTATCAGCTGCGGTACCTGCTCCGCAACCGTAAATGTTGGGTGCCAGGTAGTGAATCTTGAAACAATTCTTATCCATTACTGTAGTGTCCCCAGTTGCCCGCGTGTCTGCTCCAAGTACTACACCATTCTATACATGGTATCATTAATAACGAGTCCTTTCATTATTTTACAGTCTCTTTCCCATAAATAATACGATCTATTCCAGGATTTATTACCTTGAACTTTGTTCCGACAATGGTTGTCCCTGTCTTGGTGGGCTTTGGCAGAGAAAACCCTTTCTCCTGAAGGATTAAATTCCTGATAGATAGAATGATCAGAAACGCTGAAGTTTTCACTAGTGCCAGATAATACGACTAACCTTTGATAGTTGTCAAAGTTAAATCCGCCTTTGGGTACATCGACGCGAGATACCATTGTATTTTAACGTGCCCTCCAAGGAACGAGGAATCAAAAACCCACGAGATTGCGTAATTTGTGGACATCAGTATTAATCACGTGATACCATTTTTTGAGAATTTGATCCAACATTATAAAGATCGACATTAATTCCGGTCATCATATTTGCAAAATACTCGAGACAATGAAACTGCGTTCAGGACGCGCACGAATATTCCAAACTTCGATTGATGATTATATGTTTGGCGAAACCTCGCCTCGACCAAGTCGAGATAAAAATAAGAATAAAGAGAATGAAGATATATACTTGTCGGAAGAAATAGAAGATCCTCAGGATAGCCCTACAAGGAAAAGAAGACTTACAAAACCTCACCTAGTCGTCACCACCGATTCTGAAAATGAATGTAATGACGATAAAGTGGAAAGCGAGACCGAAACTGTTCATGATCAAACCGCAGAATTGGTCATGCATGAACGTACGTGTGAATTTTCCGAGCTATCAGAGAATGTTAACGCGTGTACATTCAATTCGTGCATGTACTGCTAATTATATAATTGGGGTTGAAATCTATCAACGGCTAAATATCTCAACATCTTTATCATATCAACGTTCAAAGCATTTGAAACTCCAACGAGACGCATGCAACCAAGAAGGAATTTACGCAACCAGAAATATAGCAATCGACTGAAGAAACTAGTTGGTATATGACATTTCTTACCCGAGAGACAAACTCTTTCGATATATATGTAGCTTGTTCGTTTTGTTTTCTTTTCTTTGTAAGCACTATTTTCATTGTTGTTTAAACTTATATTGTTTCGTTATCTTTGTTGGTGTTTAAATCTTCTTGATCAATCTTGCACCATTAAGCACGTAAACGTAGACGCGACGACTCTGATATTGACACTTTATCCGATGACTCGGACTATTCCCCGACTCCAGAAAATCTGTTTCACTTTGGTGATTCATCGGAATCAGAAGAAATATGTGAGCCAGCTAAGCGTTCAAAAAGAACCATGGGGCAAAGGGCAAAGAAGCATGAGAAAAGAGGAATACCTAGGGTATTGAATAGCGATAACGAGGATAACGTAGATGACGAGAACGATGATGCTGACGGTATAATGCAAAAAGATAAAAGATTGTCAGCTGAGGCAGATAATGACGAAGAGACTGTCAATAGCGGGTTCGATGAGGAAGAGTATGATTTGGACGATTCTGGTATGTGATAATGTATTCTTGTCAAAATATTGAACGCGTATTCTTTTATTAATTATATGTCTCGATATAGTTATTTTGGATAAACGTATGCGTGGTCGTAGGACGTCAAAGTATAGTGATAACCTCAAACAACTTTTAGGTAAGCTACAGTCGATGACGTTCTAAATGCGTTGAAATGGAAGTTGACTTGCTCAAATTAATATAGCTCGAAAGCAGGGTATAACACTAGAAGATGAGGAAAACGTGGACGACGTCGAAGAGGGAGAGGAAATGGATAAGGAAGCATCTGATGAACAGAATAACAGCGAGAATGTTGAAGATAGAGATGCTCCATTAGACATGAACTCGTATAACGACTTGGATGATTTTGTAGTCGAAGAAGGTGAAAACGTTGACTTGTCTGGATTAAATTTTCCAGGTAACGTATTTATGGCGATGATATTATAGTAGGCACGACAATTTATTAAATAATTAATTCCTCTGTCCATTCCATCTATAGCCGAACTTACTTCGTCTGGTTCGCAGAGCATGAAATATCATTTTCAAGTATTCATTCAGTTTCTCGTTTATCTTAACAAGTTTAGTTATGACGAATTAATGGCAGGTTAGTTTCCTTAGCATATTGCCCGTTTAAATATTTATCTGTCAATAATATTTTAACAGACTTTTTTTTCTTCTTTTTGATAGATGAATATTTCTCATCATCAGTCAAGGCCGTAGAGAGAAAAATTGATGGCTACAAGAACGTGCTTGTGGCTAGTTCTGCTTGGGCGGCTTACTTCAAAGTATGGACAATACAGCTTGTAAGGATAGCCTATTAATTCATATCTGTTAAAAATCCCGACTGATAATTGCAGAAAGCCCTCCATCGATATCCTATCTATCGTGCAATACGAATTCAAGCTTCTCCGTTTTGTGACGCGTGTAAGAGTTCGAGGCCATCGACCTACAAAGTGACTCTATCTGGGCCGAAATATCACAAGGACAGTTTGCGGGCAAGTCACGTATTATCGTATTCTTAATCAAGCGACCACCACAACCTTTCATTAATTTTGTGAATCTCACATTTTTCAGTACGGATCTACTTCATCTGCATCCTCAATATCCTCGTCCTCCGCAGAAGAGGACCAGAATGACTTCCGTTTTACCTCTAAATCTACTCGCACGTATCATCTAGGCAGATTCTGTCAGGTACGAGCAAGAGTTTATCATGATTTCCATCACCTAAAGTTCCATTACTTTCAAAGAATACATGCGGAGATTCAATCACGTGACTTTCCTGAAGAAAAACCAGAAGATATTGTGACGGAATTGGATAAACGTGAGTTCACTACAATAATGTATGGACAGTTTGAGGAGTTGTGCACGAACACAGAGCGGCTGTATAGGAATCAGCCTATTAAAGAATATAATTAGGAGCGACTGTGGTTTAGACTTTGTGTTTGTGTATATACTGAAACGACGAGAAAAACTCGGGAATCTTTGATAATATATATTTTTTTACAAAAATTGTAGTTTAATAGTTAGTATACGTTAATATTTACTATGTTATATTTACACGGGACCAACAATTATGAACTTGAAAATAGCGAATAAAAAATGGTAGCAACAAAGTATTACAGTGTATTTGTTTAATAACCTTTCCATGGATAAAATACACGACTGTTTCCGTATGATTATACTTAGGATTTTAAATGTGTTTAGAGGTTAACCGTCATCCATGCAAACCAATTTCTACTAATAACTTATACACATACAGTGTGTTGCGAAAAAAAATGGCGCACAAATAAACTTGTATATCTCAACAATTACCCAACAGAGACAAATGAAAATGGACTTATTTAAAGCTTAAAATTTTGATACGAAATATTCCCATTTTTTTGTAATACTAGTTCACAACGATTTTTCATAGATCCGATTAAATTTTGTACATCCTGAGGAATTTTATCCTACTTTTTTATACCATAAATTGCTTTAATTCACCAATATCTTTAGGCATTCTTTTTCTAACAATCTGCCACATATTCTCGATGGGATTCAGATCAGGGCTGTTAGATGACCACTCCATTACATGAACGTTGTTTTGGGATAAAAAATCCTTTGCAACACGTGAAGTGTGCTTAGGATCATTATCTTGTTGCAGACGCCATCTTCTACCATACAACTGTCGGCCAAACGGAAGAAGCTGGGTTTGTAAAATATTTACATAAAAGGGACCATCCATTATGTCTGTAAAGCAAAACGCTAATCTTTTAATTTACGCGCCATTTTTTTCGTAACACGCTGTATTAAATCGAATTTTATTATTATTATGGTCTTATTAATTTCTTGTATACCACGCCTCCGAACAAGTGTAACTCAAATAGCCGGTTCATTTATAGGTACTAAGATCAGTAGTATTATTTTATTTTCAACAATATTCGAACTTTGATGTTTTCAACATGAAGATTTGACAATTGAATATGAGCTACTTATATATCTTCGAGCGTTGCGGAAAAAGCGCCTCTCTTTTAGCTATTTCTAGAAGAGCAATTAATTATAGGTTAATTATAGCATTTTGTGCTGTTGCAATATTTTTTTCGGAACGCTAAATTAATACTATTACTATTAGTGTCGATCATGGGTTCTGCACAATCATCTTTACGTTCTTTATCAGTTTTAAAGTCATGAGGATGGGAATAGAATTCGGAGTCAGAGTCGTTCATATTTGTAATCATCTCCTTCATTAGATGGACAACATACTTTTCGGGAGAGTAACTTCTGCTTCAAACTTATTTGGATAAAAATTCTCTTCGATCTTTGTTCTCAGCCGTAAAATTGATTGTCTGATCATCGTCTTGATCATAGCCTCTAGCGTTTTGCTATCGGTGATCAATTGTCCCTGGATAAATCGGTGATATGTCTTATGGATAGCCCAGAATGCGGCCATTCCTTCCTTTTCGTTTATATGGTACCTTTGTTCGGTCTCATTAAGCCTGCTTTGAATCGACTTGTGTTTATGATTTCATTGTCTGCTGTAGTTCTAGTAACGTCGTACGTGTCTTTTACGTAATCTCTAGTGTTCGCGGGAATTTGGGTACTGGTGTAAGAAACGACATAATCTTTATCTTCATCTTGTAATTGAGAGAGTACTGTTCCTAAGGCAAAATCAGACGCGTCGGTTGTTACTGTAAACAATCCGATCTTGTTTGGATGAGCTAATATCGGTGAGTTGATAAGGCAATTCTTGAGCAATTCGAATGCAGCCTGGTATTCGTTCGTCCATCTAAAGGCATTCTTTTGTTTTAATAGGTTCGTAATCGGCTTTGTTATCTCTGGATAAACTGTCCATAGAATCCTGTCATTCCTAAGAACGATCGGATTTCTTTCACGTGGGTTGGAAGGTGGGAATTGGGTTATTGCTTGTGTTTTTCTATCGTCAGGTGCGATGCTATCCTTCCAAAGACATGTCCTAGAAACTCTAATTCCTCACATGCGAACTGACATTTCTCTTTCAAAATCCCTTCTAAGTGCTGTATGTGTTGTTCGAACTCTGTGGAGTAAATATTGAGATCGTCGATATATACTGCTAAGTGTTGCCCGATCTCTTCGGCAAACACTGTCTCCATCATGCATTGAAACGATACTGGCGCGTTTTTGAGTCCGAATGATATGTGTTTGAAGTAATATAATCCTTTATGGCATGTGAAAATAGTCTTGAGCGACTTTATTCCTCCATTTCAACTTGCCAGTAACCGCTAGCTAGATCGAGAGTCGAGAATATCTTAGGCGGATTTCCGCTTTTTGCTATACAGTCAAACCTCTTTATACCGATAAAGTTCGTTTACCCAAACCAGTCCTACTGGATTATACTGCTTATACCGATAAACTCTATACCGATACAATCTTCGGAACGGTTAACTAGTGTTGATATGAGATTTTCTCTGATTATACATGTATGTATTAGCATTAGCATATCAATTGGATACTCATTGATATACATGAAATGAAAGAATACAGATAATATTACATCAAAAACCAAAAAGGCTCTCTGACGGCACTTCAGAAGAAAGAGCGTTGATGCAGAAACCACAACCTAAACAAAGCATCTTGGCGGAGCAGTATGGCGTCGCGCAAAATACGATTTCTGATGTTTGATGCAATAAAGATAAATGGCTTTCCATCGATCATGATACACTTTCATCTAAGAAAAAGAAGAATCGTCCATTATCCTATCCTCAGATTGAATCTGCAGTTGACAACAATATTACTATCGCTACTGACATTCTTTAGCAGAAGGCAAAGGATTTTGCTGTTCTATTTGATATTGAACATTTTACAGGGTCGGCTGGCTGGATGTCAGAACTGCGTAAAGTGCAGAGTAAATTATGGGCTTATCATAGAAATCAACAATGGATAATTTTATAACTCATAAGTATGTGATTTTCATTTCATTTTGTTATACCGATATGATGAAGTTTTCATAAACAATATCGCTATAAAAGTCTCTGATTATACCGATAAACAGCGATGTCTATTATTAGGGACTGTTACGTCATTAACTACTGGAGATACCTGAGACGGATCGTCGATGTTAAGCTAAGCTTAGCGATAATTCCGGCTTTCAACTTCCGCCTCGATAAATTCGGTATTGCTCCAAGTATGCCGGGGCTTCCAATGGTAAGGTTTCGCATTACCGGTGTCGATTTTTTGTGCGTAATTATCATTGTATGTCCTAAGTCGTTTAGATCTTTCGAAAATACTGAATCGTATTTGTTAATTTCCGTTTTCGCTCTCAAGATATCTTGAGCATCGGTAGTGGCGGCCCGGGTAGTGGCGGCTGTTGTTTCCCGAGTAGTGGCGGCCGTTGTTTCCCGAGTAGCAATCTTCTTCGTTTAACGATGCAGCCTCTCGTTCCCCATTTGCTGCAGCAATAATTCATCCATCACTGGCTCTCCAGCCCTACACTTTTTGCCTCCTCGGCACTCTCCTCCTGACTGTGTCCTCTTGCTTCTTGGGTAAATCGGGCCTGAGCTCTTTGGATACTATTCCAGGTCCATCGGTTGCCATCTATGGATATTCCGTTTGGCGATTCTCGCACTTCTACCGCCCGGGTATGTTTGAAATTTTGGATATTAGAGCATTGAACATAGAAGATAGACTCATACACTTCCATATTGCTATTGTCTAATTCCGCTATTTCTTTATTATCAATTTCCATATATTTAGTATCTGAATGATGCTTTTGCTTCCACATTTCGAGCGCTGGGTGAACAGCGGCCATTCATATTATTATTATCACAATCGGCTACAGCCGATTACATTTCCGGTCTGCGGCACATTGAATTTCACGATGATCAGCATAGTTGCACAGTAAGATTAGTGACACGAACTGGCTCGCATTTCATTCTTCTTTTGGTATTGGTTCTTCTTCATCCACAGTCTTGCTTGTTTCTTTTAACTTTTACCATCAGGCAATAGCTAATATTATTTGATCTTTCTCAGTATAGGTTGATTTGTTCTTGGTTCTTTCCATTGCCTAGAGTCATCTGAGACTTTGATAGAGAAATTCTGGCTTTAACTTCTGTCAAGAAATTTTGGCCTAAGATTACATTGACTGAAGGATGAGGGATTATTTCTGTTGTGAGTTTCCATTCTTTTGTCTTGAATATTATTGATATGTCATTAATTCAGCCTTTGCATCTTCTTCTGAGACCTGATATCCCCATAATATTTACACTTGATTCTTCTAGTGGTATAATTATAGTCTGTATAGACTATAATTATACCACTTAGTTCGGACTATAACCATCCCAAGTATGTGTCAT